TTTTGTGTTTAATTCCAATGCCTTAGACTCTCTCTCTCTCTCTCTCTCTCTCTCTCTCTCTCTCTCTCTCTTTCTGTGTGTGTCTTCTCATGAAGAGGAGCAGCAGCTTTTTTTTCTGGATCACAGAACTCTCCAGTAGTTGTTGAAGCAGGATTTAGTAACATACCATGTAGAGGGGTTATGATATCTGAATGCTGAGGTGCTTGTGGAAAACTGTTATTATTAAATACTGTAGATAGTAGACTAGATTTTTTCTTGCTGGCATTCAAGCCAACTGTCAACAGCCAGTGGAACTTTAACACATATAACTGGCTATAAAACAAGCTCAACTGCATTTTATTTATGCTGCTGGTGGTTTTCACAGTTACTCATTGGGTGTGGTTAGGTAGATTCAGTCTAGGTAGCAGGAAATGACAGTCACTTGTCCCTGTTTACAGCCATCCAGCATGATGCAGTCAAGACATAAAATATCTCTCTTTCTTATTAGCTTTACCTTTGTGTGCTTTTGCTGCAAGAAGCTAAAAACAAGTACTATTTAACCAACCATTCATCATTGTAGCGGGTATTGACCCAGAATTACAGAGTAGAATTTGTCTCCACTCCAAATCATAAAGCAAGAAATTCTTGACAAAAAGCTCAGAACATGTAAGTATTTCTGTATGCAATGCATATATAAATATAAACAGGGCTATTTATGCCAAAATGTTTTTTTAAGTTTACAATCACTGTTTTGACTCTTGGTTGAATGAGCATTCTCTTTCACTCTTCAGCCTATATCTTTTCAAACTGGAGTGAGGAAGTTTTTGATTTAATGCATTTAAAATAAAGTGGTTAAGCTTATTCATAATGTTTCCATTAAACTGTAGGCTAAGTTGACATTGAAGTGTCACAAAATTAAGACACATCGATCTAAAAACTTTTTCCTGCTGCTTTACATTTTAGCTTAATTGAAATGGTGATGAATAATTTGGTCAAAGATCAACAAAGCTCATTTAGTGAAGACAAAAATTCTGTTTGGTAAGATTAGCATGACTGCATTCCACTGCCGAAAACAATCAGATTTCCGATCGGAATTTTTTCAAAATAAAAGTGTATCTTGGCCAAATTACAAGTCCATCTGGAAAACTTCCATGTGTTACAACAACAACAACAACAAAAAATAATATAACGTATATTTCAAAATGCAGATATATTTATAGGCATTCTTAAAGCTGCAGTAGGTAGAAAGCCTGAAAACGGTAGGTTAGGTTTCGTTCATCTCCGTCCTGAGCCCCTCCTACCAGACGAGCACGCGAGTATTTTATCCTACTTGGTTCTATTTCTCCCTCTCTGGGAGCCTCACCGCGCCGCAGCCCTCCCCATCCCTCCCTCGCGGCCCCGCACATCGCTCTCCCTCACCCCGCAGCAGCTCAGACAACTTGATTTACATTATGCTTAGAGGATATTATAAAATTTTTTACTCAATTATACCAAAACAATGTTGCCTACTGGAGCTTTAAAGCTATAGTGCGTAACTTCTGTCGCCTCCCAGCGGATAATGCGTTATTACAACTAATAAACCGGCGGCACTTCCGTGTACACAGAGTAACACTCGCCACACACCGTACACAGAGTAACACTCGCCAGTTGCCACACACCGTACACAGAGTAACACTCGCCAGTCGCCACACACCATACACAGAGTAACACTCGCCAGTTGCCACACACCGTACACAGAGTAATACTCACTTCACACCGTGTACACAACGCTACACAACGTGGCGAACACCAGGCTACTAACATTACATTACATTCATAGCACCATTTCCAAGAAAATAATAAAGTACTAGGTCCAGTACATGTAACAGCAACACATACTACTCATAATATAATTATAAACCAATTCACTTAGTTATCCAACAGCAGCAAGGCAACATCCGTGTCTGCCCTCAGCCCAATTTCTTCCTTCAGGGCTCTCCACCGAGGAAAAGCGACGCCAATACAAATCCTTTTTTGCCTTCTCCGTCGGTCACTTTTCTTCTTTGCTAATAGACTTTCAGTTTAATGTCCATGCTTTTTCTTTGTGGTAGGATCCACTTCTGAACCGTGTCGGCCACTTCTCCGCCATGTTGCTTTCTCTTTCTACCTGCGCTCTACCTCTTGCTATGACACTCTCCGCTCGTCCTCCCCCTCCCTTCTTGTTGTGAGGAAGCATTTCCTGTGCGCAAACTAAAAATGATATATATATTGAAAAATGCCGCGAGATGTTAGAGGAGCCGATCGGCTTAATCAGCATTGTGTCATCTCCTCTAGTAGCGGCTTGGGTGAAACGGACATTTACGGACCTGTAGAAGTTACGCACTATAGCTTTAAGTACACAAAGCATTGTTCCTGCTGAAAACTATATCAATGTGGAGAGTTCAGGAACTGCACACTGATGTACTCTGGTTTCTTATTTTACCGTTATTACTAGGCTATTAATTATTTGATGTGCATAGACTTATACTGGTACAGTTGTGTTCCACCACTATTCTACTTTTAGTAATGTTATGTATCTATGCATGTGTTATGCCATCCATTGTTCTTTTAATAAACTGGTTGTCCTTTTCCTTAAAAAGACAAACAGCTTTAATTTGAAGGACTACATTGATTATAGGGAACGAAACACTTAGGCCTACTGGGAACAAGTTCTCTCAAGTTTAACCAGTTTTCATTCGGATATCTTAAGGTGAGAGTTCAAGGGGCCCCTTTAAAAATGACCCTGCCAGCTGCTCCCTCACTAAAATTTACCCTAACTCTGGAGTCTTACTTAGCCTCCTTGCACAAGGTATGCTGACATGATTGGTACCAATGGATTCCTTAGTCTAGTCTTAAAGGCCCAGTGTGTAAAATGGGTTGAAAACCATTGAAAACAGTGACATCAGTGGTCAAATTCTAGATTGCAGGGCTCACTCACTCACCCCTCCCGTCGGGTAAATGATGGTGGCCTCGTAGGGACAAAAAGCCTTGCGCAGACACGAGTTTTTCAGGAGTAGGTCTATCTAGCGATGAGGTGAATGTTTATTTAGAAATCTAAACCATGTTACGATATTGTAATGAATCCCTCACGCGCAGGTGACCAGAGGAGCGTTCGGGAAAAAGGCCCATTTATTTGAGCACTCCAGAAACTCCTGTAACACTCCACTCCGTCCCAAACTCTGACTCTTCTAGCGTAACACACACACTCCATACACACATACTTGTTTACAATACCTAGCAGGCACCCCCTCCCCTCTCTGCTCCACCAATCTCCAGCCCACACACTGACTGACAGCATAGCCTGTAAACAGAGCTCAGCTGTTTATGTAGCCTAGCAATATCTCCAGACTATAGTTGCTGCAATGGACGACTTTGAACACGATTTTGAAGAGTTTCTTGTAGCGGACACAGACCCAGAGCCATACCTGTTTGAGCCGGAGCATACAGATGAGGAACTTGGATGCTGAGCGGGCGAGACGAGAGGCTGAATCCTCCGCTCCCATTTGGCTGCACAGAATGGGATTTGGTGCTACCATCGTTGGGGAGATATATCATCTGGAGGAAAAGCGCCTCAGAGAGTGCATCACAAGGAGTGAAGCTGCGTCTTCTTTTCCTCGCAGATGACGGTTCGGGTTCATTCTCTCCTGTTGCATGGTAAGTGTGCTCCATTCGCAAACTTTATAACTAAAAAAACTTTTCACTACTCTGTCAACGAACTACTAACACTCTCTGCTGTTTCCTCCTCCTCCTTCCTTCCTTCCGCTGTCTTTGTTGGTTTATTTATACATGCGAAACGCGTTCTCTGGCTGGCTGGATTGTCCGCTCGGGCTGTCGTACATACATGGCGGCGCGCAAGATGGCGACCTCTCTAAAGCAAGGCCCTTGCTATATATATATATATATATATATATATATATATAAGCATAATTATAAGGCTACGAAAACCAAACATTTTATTTTATAGCGATTATACACTTATATAAACATATTAATGGGTAGAATATTCAGATTCAGATTCAGATTTGACAATAAACCATGCCAAATATTACACACTGGCCTTTTAAAAATGCAGTATTGTTGACCTCCAATTATTTTCTCCAGAGGGGGCCAGTGGGGGACCCAGAGATTGTTTCGGGTGGCCATGCTATTTAAGCAGTAGAGGGAGTGCTGTTATACTGTACATCTCAGCCAGCGGCCTCGCACCTACGACCGAATCACAGCCGTGCTGATATTCAGTACAATAGCACAACCTCTAGTGTGATATTACTATTGTACAACAGTTCTACTAAGTGCCATTTATTTACAGTAAAAAGCAGCAACAGGATATTATTAGTATATTTATTTCATGATTTATTTAGCTTAGCCAACACAACTAGTTCTGCAACTGGACTGGGATTGGACTGCTGCATTACAAGCTTGTTACTTTGTGTAAGTCTAAATGTCTCTGCAGACCAGCTACTTTGTATCATGTAGGCTTCATATGTGTGTGAAATTAGAGTCAGTTGACAGTCGCTTTGGTGCCATATGTGATGCCCATGAGTTAACAGCTTCATCAGCACGTTGCGTCGCGTTTTGGTGTAATATGCACATACCTGGAGATTTACAGTCAAGTATTCAGGCTTCTTTCGTCCCTCGTCCTTTACTCACGACCACTCATTATATAAATCTGTTATTTTAGGAAATATGTTTCTCGTTTCGGTGCTGTTTGTTCTGACAACTGTTAATGTCGACTAATTTACGGTTAACGGCTCAGAACACCTGTGAGCGGAGTGATACATGCATAAAGTCCCAGTCCACACTCTTGGAATGCCTCCTGTCCAATCAAATTGCTTGGTCGGAACGAACTGTTGTATGTCAAATAATATGACACTGACAGTGGCCATTTTACACAATGAGTACTTTTATTAGTTTAGGTACAGTTTGTTGCTTTTATGCGGTAGTTTTACTTACGTAGTTTTTTCTGTGTCTATTATTGTCACTCCTTATAAACCAACTTTTATTCTGAAAAGCTCAGATCGGAAGTCTCGTTGTTGTCGTAGCCTGAAATCACAAGCGCTCCTCCGGTGTCAGTGCCAGCCAGTGGCTTGCTCGGAGTGGGGCGGTTATGATGGTGCGGGCTGCGGTGTTGCTGCTCGGATGGCTCGGACTCGTAGTGTCGTGCCGGGCTCAGGTGGTCGCTCCCCCCACACTGAATATCAGCCTGGACGAGGATCCAGAGCTGCGATGGTTGCCTCTTACCAAAGCCTTTGACGTAGACTACCTGAAGAAAGCTGCCGCAGAGGTCATTGAGTGAGTTCTCCACAGCCTCTTTATCGCTGTTTATTTGTCATATTTAACAACATGAACTATACATGAATAACTATACATAAATATTGTACAGTTCCTGTTTCTAGAACATCGTCATTGCGGTGTAATGCTACGTTAACCAGATGTTGCAGAAGTTAGCCATTAACGTTAGTTAGGAGTAGTGTAAAGCTAACATGTTTATAAGTGATTCATACATAGGCTGTTGAAAATAGGATTGTCAGGATCGAAATATAGACATTGTTAGGTAACTATCAGGCCACAGATGGCATGCTTTCACTTTCTATTTGCTACTTTATCAGAGGTGGTACAAACAAAGAGGAGAGTGAACTGTAATCATCAGGAACAATACCACAAATAGCTACAAAATAATAGTTGTGTTAAACTAGTGTTAACTTAATATTGATGTATTATGTCAGCCTTGAATCGGCAGGTAAACTAACATCTGGGTTAATTAGAATTTTTACATGTATCTCACAGAGGTTGTGCTGAGGCAGACATGTTTTCTGTTTTCTGTCCTTTCTTTTGTGTCTTAGCTCTACAGTCCCAAAATGGGTGCATCATGCATTGGCACCTGTTGTGACAGCCTTGGCAAAGTATGTTCCTCAGCCATATGCAGGGGAGATCCGTGGCATGGCCTCGCACTTGGGAGGAAGCATCGCAGACGTCATCATACTCAACTTTGCCTATGAAGTATCTGCGTATGTATGATTTTAGATAGTTACACATCTATAATAGAAACCTGTGTACAATGCAGAGGCACACAATTGTGCAGGATTAAGGTGAAAGCCCTCTCATGCATGCAAACAAACTTTATGCGTTCCTAGATTTTGCACTAGCATCGTAGCACAGGACAAAAATGGGCACGTGTACCATGGCAGGAACCTTGATTATCCACATCCTGTTCTGAGGAATCTGACCATCAACATAAATTTCCTCAAGAATGGAGAGGTACAGTATCTATTCATGGCATTTAAAAAACTAAATGTCATAACTCCTGAAGCTACACACCCATATTTTTTAAATCCAGAATCAGTAGGTAAATTTTAGTAGGTACAAAATTAAAATTCTTTGCATAATGATGGCCGAGGAAACCATTTTGTAGTTGTTAATGTGACACATCTATTCAGGTGGCGTACAGTGGAACTTCATTCGCAGGCTACGTCGGCCTGTGGACGGGACAGAGTCCTAAAAAGTTTACCGTCTCTGGCGACCAACGAGGTGAGACCACACTTCTCCTCTGCAGTCAAGTTTTTACAGAAATGTTGCATTACTCTGATTTAATTGATTGTTTTCATGTTGTACGTGTGTTTGTGCTCATTAGGCACTGAACACTGGTGGAACTGGTGGAAGAATGTGGTGTCTGCCTTCCTCTTTCGGAGGTCCCCAGTCAGCTGGCTGGTTAGGGAGGTGGGTATTACGGAAGTTAGTATAATGAGGATATTTACAGTGTGAGGAAGTGAAACTTTTACTTACTGTATGCAACCAACAGACACTGGAGGAAGCAGAAAACTTCCAGGATGCTGTGATGCGTCTCTCCAAAATTCCCATAATCACTGGGGTGTATTACATTGTTGGTGGGGTGCGAGCAGGGGAAGGAACCGTCATCACCAGAGACCGAACGGGCCCCGCTGATATCTGGCCACTGGATCCCTTGAATGGAGAGTAGGTGAAATTAAAGATCTGAGGAGAATCTGGTGTACTAAGGTGTTTGTTGAGTGTGATTGCACAACTGGACCCAAACCTAAAATTGTGTGTTTCTGTTTTAGATGGTTCAGAGTGGAGACAAACTTTGACCACTGGCTTCCTCCTCCAGCCAGGGATCATCGGAGGTGAGTCATCTCACATGATGATTATTCCACAATATCGTTGCTGTTACTGTTATTACACTGTTGTTATGTGTTAATTTTGTAGAGAGGCAGCCAACAAAGCACTAAATGCTACTGGCCAAGATCACATCAACATGGAGACACTTTATCAGGCAAGCATGGACTCATAAATCAGCATTTCAGGGGACCAAAGTGCACGTGATACTGAGACAGAGTGTGCACAGCATATTTTGAAAGTCAGAGACAGTGTATGGATATCTGACAGAGTCTGTTCCTATAGGTTCTGTCGCTGCCTCCAGTGTGTAACGGGTAAGGCCAATGTTCTCTGTTCATTATGCTCTTATTTGTGTTTTAAGGAATCACATGTCTCTTCATGTAGCCAAAATGGGGCAGCTGCATACCAGTTCCTGTTCCCCTCACCCCACCTCAGCAATAATGTCAACTGGCCTTTGTTTGACACCATACTTTAGCACATAGCTGAGTCTCAGTCAAACCATTGGAAGTTTAACATTTTGATAATATGCTTGTTATTTATAGTTATAGTTTTAAGAAACCTTTATATAGCTTGTGTTAAAGGTTTATGCTTTGAATAACATTTGATAGTATCTATTGTCTGTGTTGATAATCCCCAGAATAACCGTTTACACGACAATAATGAGTGCAGCAACCCCAGAGCAGTACAACACAGTTGTAAGGGCACAGGTAATTACATCTATTAAATCTTAAATGCACATAAAATGATACTCAGTGAAGGGGTGAAATGTCATTGAAGATGACACCCTCTCTCACTCATCTCTCTCCATCTCTTTCAAGGGCTGCCAACCGTCGTGACAGGCCTGGAGCATTCAACACTGCTGCTGCAGAGCGTCCTTGCGTGCCTGAATTTAAAATCATGGTTACATGCTGATTATGATCATGTGGAGATTACATAATCAATGACATTAGAGGGGAATCGGACTCAAGCTTTTTTAGGGTGACAGCACTTTTCTGCTTCTACTAAAAAAAAATGAATACATTTTGTTGCCTTATGTACTTGCAGTTTATATGTCTAGCTTAATAAAAATGATTACTTTAAAGGTTCATTAAGTAACTCATTAAGTACATGAGACATATAATCTGTGAAAAAAATATTGTGTTCCTCTGCCTCCTCCCAGTGCTACTAATGGTATTCACAAGAATCCTGAGCAGGAACAACCTATCAGAGCCAGGAGGAGACTCTAACGCAGCTTTCAATCAAGTCAATCACTGCTCATGCAATCGCTGCGCCACTCCTCAACAGTGTTCAAGTTACAAGTTACAAGTTGCAAGTTACTCTCAAAATGTAGTATATCACATATTAAAAGTTTCCTTCATTTGAAAGTTAAGTTGCTGAAGTAGAGTAATAGTTTACTTATTACATTACTTTTGTGTTACTTTAACCAAAATGAGCTCAGAGGAACTAATAGGCATTTTAAATAGATGAAGGTCATGTTGTTTCACAGCTGGTGATCAAAGCACAGAAGCTCCAGTTTATTACAGATCATTTCAACTGCGTGGTTACCACTTTGTGTAAGTAATAGCGCAATAATATATAACAATGAAATAGCCTAAACCTTTTAAAATAAATGAATAGACACAGGGAGGGTCAGGCAGAGGATCAAAGTCTGATAATTATGAGATATGATACATATGATATGAAATTCAATAGCCTGAACAAACGTTGAGGTTAGCACAACAAATTGAGTGGCGTGCACTGAACACTGCGTAAGAACAGGACTGTGTGCCAGGGCTGATCTGCAGCTGTCGAGGCTATGATTGGAAACACATCCAATATATACTAACATCACCCAGATGTGCCGATCATTGTGATGTAGAAAAATAAAACAGGAGGCCAGCTCCTTATCTGAGCAGCTTTCAGGCAGCTTTAGGATGCAAAAGCAAAACAGGATACATTGTAGGTATGTGAATGAAAACACACTGAATTTGATAACGCACAGACACACGACACACAACAACCTTCAGGGGATATTTTTTCTTTTGGTGCACTGCCAGAAGTAGAGTGATGTGAATCAGTGTGGATGAATGAAAAATGAAAACAATTAACAGTTTATTTTTGGTGGTAACATGTTATGTGATATCGTAAATATAATGATATTACCTATTACCTGTTGGTTACGTGTTTGATTACTTCGTTACTGCTAAAACATATCACTGTAAGCGTTAACCCCAACGCTGCTCTTGAAGCACTCCAAAAGCCAACACTTAGCACAGTAGTTCTCAAATGATGTGCCATGATGCCAGTTCAGGTGTGCCGTGGGATTTTGTAATAACCACACATTATTATGGCAATATTCATCTGGGCCTATACAAAAAGTTATGAATGAATGAAAAAACCATCACGGGGAACCTTTTTGTCACCGTTAGCATGTGAGAATTACAAGTGTGTGACATATCAAAAGCCCTGATTGGCAGCCAGAGTGCAGAATGATAACATTTAAAAGGAGAAAGTCGTGAGTGGGACAATGGATCACTTTATTGTACAGAGCATGCACAGGGGAGGTGGCTGCGCAGCATGTGCACAAGAAGTTATTGAAAGCTGCGTTAGAGACTCCCCCTGGCTCTGATTCTGGCACAGTTGATTCTTGCAAATGCCATTAGGAGCACTAGGAGGGGTCAGAGGAACCTGATTTTTTTTTCAATTGTCTGCCTCATGTACTGCTGCTAATATATAGTGACAGTTTCAGCAACTATTACATATAAGTATTTTCAAAATAAAAGTTATCTGCTGTAGCTTTAATGATTGTGATTATGTGGAGTCAGCTGAAGAGGGGCTGAGTGACAGAATTCTGAATGACACTGATATACAGTATAGGTTAATATAAACATGGATGGAAAAGCCCTTCTATCTGACACCAGGACAAGTTCTATGGTAATTGTGCCTAAGGTGAAATGTCTCTGAGATAAACCACTTGTCTGGTTAACTTATTAGAGTCACTTACTTTTTTTTTTCTTCACTTGGGCTTCACATTTGCACTTTTGTTTCAGTCATAGGTGACATGCATGATTTTAGGGGTCAAACCAGCGACCCATAACTGACTCGGTTGTGTTGTCTATAACTGGATGTTGTCCTGGTGCCACAGAGCTCTACAGTTGTGGATGGCCAGCAGCAGTTTCTCACTACATATAGACCTGCAAACTCTAGAGCAGTAAAAAGTTGATAAGATCACGTAAGAATAAACAAATATAACACTATAATATACTATAACATTTCTCTTTATTATTATTTATCCCTCACCATTTCATATTGAACAGGAGAGATGCTGATAATACAGATTATTTTTTGACTGTATAGTAATATCATAGACCTTTAAAAGTAAATTTTGAAAAAGTAGCTAGAGACTTAAGGCATTATTCCGTATAATGCACATGAGGAACAGACTCATAATTAGTAATCACTGCAACTGATAGACTGCAGTGACTCAGGCTTGATGAAACACAAAGTGGTCATTTGAGCTCAAACCAGGATCTCCTTTTAATGCATTACGTAATATTTTGTTTATGAACAATAAAACCAAACTGCAAAATCTGAATTAAATGGAGAAGATGTTAAGGCTATGATAAAGCCAGTAGTGTGATCTAACAAAGTAATAATATTTTGTTACAATACTTTAGTAAAGTATTTGTACTTTTTATATTTCTGTCAACTTTCACTTTTACTCCACTACATCTCCCAAATGAAATGTATACTTTTACTCCACTACGTATCTACATATTGGTGTAAAAGTTAACTTTTTTTTTAATAAAATTCTTTAAGTTGTGACGAGGACCTCATTTTTCATCAAGTGTAATGTAAGCTCCATTTTTAAGCTGGTGACATATTTAGAAGAAATAAACTTTATAATCCTTGGAATTCTGACTGCTTGCTTTTTAATTAACAGCATTTACTTGTACTTTTATTTTCAATTACTTCATTACATTTAAATTTTTTTTATATTATTTATTAATATATTTATTTTTTTAAAATATTTTTTGTTATTGATGTTCATTAAATATCAGATTTGAGACTTGAGATTAAGACTCAGGTAATATTCTAATAGGTGACTTTAACTTCTACCAGTCTTTTTCTGGTAACATATCTGTGATTTAATGCCTTTCAGGTACTTCATCCACCACTGAATGTAGCCACTTACTACATTTTCAGTTTTGTAAGTGGTTCACCTGATGGGCTTTCTTCTTTTTTTTCATCTTTAATTGTTGTTTGGTCATTTATTTATAACACTTGTGCTTTAGTTTAGTGTTATCTGTGTGTTTTATGTTGTTCTGCATTGCAAAGCACTTTGTTCCCCTTATCATCATCATTATTATTATTATTATTATTATTGAACAAATTCTTGAGGTTGAGATTTTAGGATAGATTTCTGTTTTTCTTAATTGTTTAGACTTTTGACTAGTGCTTGGCTCAAAAGGTTTGCATTATACTAATCATAATAATGATAATCATAACATTAATAATTCATTATTGATAACATTTTTTTTATTCCTCTTCTTCCTCCTCCTCTTATCTGTATACAGTCTGTGATTATTACGCATGTTTAATCGTGATTTTAAACCTCCCAGAAGTGTAAAGTGATCCTACGTCAGTTTCCGCTTTCATTGTGCGCGCTCTCGTGAGACTCATGCACTTCCCGGCAGGCACGCGGGGACAGCAACACTTGTCAGCGGATCACATGATATGACAAAGCAGCTAGCTACTTCCTGTGTAGACTGATAGCCAATTCACATCTAGACGGCCGCAGAGACTGCGACTACCGTGTCATCCAAGATGCTGGCCCTCATAAACAGGCTGTTGGACTGGTTCAGGTCTCTTTTTTGGAAGGAAGAGATGGAGCTGACGTTGGTGGGACTTCAGTACTCCGGAAAGACCACATTCGTCAATGTGATTGCAGTAAGTAGCTAGCAAACAAGCACTGTCAGTGTGGGCCCCGGCTAATACCTGGGAGAGGCTGTGGGCGATATATATGATATAAACTGTATGTAATGACCACAACATTCATAGGTTATTGTTCCATAACATGCACAGGAATGTGTTGGTGCCTTTTAAATGTCATATATCGCTGCGGTACGAACACTAGTAGCGATGTGACTCAGTTGTTGTTTGGCTAACTAAGCTAGAGTGACGAAGTTCTTGGTATGACTGTGCGCTTACTTATGAAAGCGGTCATGTGAACGGAGTTGTCATTGCTTTGTAATAGCTGCCGGTGTGTCAACATCAACTGCATGTTGCCTACACGGGCCACTCGTCAACTTTGTAAACAGCCCGTCTTGTCTACGTCATCTAGCCAGGGTGAAGTGAAGCGGACGAGGGCCGGAGCCATCATACCCGCAGGCTGCCAGCTGTCTCTGTTATTAGAATAGGTTATATAGGTGGAGAGCTACATTTGCTTTGTGTATCCTGCTGTAAGGCAAGCCAGCAAAACTGAATTCATTATGGCCGTCGGCTCCTGTGCGTTCTCCTTCCCATAAAAAATATTCCCTTGTTGTTGAGTCCAGATTTATGGCACGTTGTCACATAGCTAGCACTGCCAGTATTAAAACTTTATGATATCTTTGTTTGTTTGTGTGTCTCGCTTGTTTATCGTGCCACAGCCTTGAGTGGGTATGGGGTTATATTCTGTAGTCCAGTGTTGTTTATGTCTGTGTTTCTAGGTGATAGAGCACACTGCAGTTTTAAGAAGTCAAGTTGAAGGCCACAGTACTCTAGGCTCCCCCTCCCTTGGATTCATCTCAAGAGCTCGCAGTTTTTCCGGGTCTGTTGTGGTCATGTGAGGTGATCTGTGATTAGATTTGCACAAAGCTGCCTTCACTTTGCAAGACTGCCGGACTGAAACCAGGCTGTATATGAGCGACACAATCGCAGCTATTAAAGTCATCTGGCGTATCTGAATTTCTTTCATATCTGTTTCTATCAAAGCAGGTTGCGCTGGTTTTAGTGGGTGGCCCCACTTTTAGGTTAAATGCTTTGTATGGCACTTCTACGCTTGTGGAATGTTTGGTTACAAAGCACTGTCTGGTTGCAGGAAACTTGATCTGAAGCGAATGTATGCTGATGCAGAGATGCCATCATCTTAACATGATTCATGGAGTAAAATGACAACTGTTCAATTTGAGGCTTCAGGCAGCTAAAAAAAAACTTGTAATCATATGATTTCTCAATTTATTCTGACCCCATGCACAGAAATGATTCACATCCACTAAGCTTTTCATGTGACTTAATTAAATTAAACCATACTGACTTAATTACATGAAGACATGTTTTTATTCTGTGATACTGATGCAGAGACAATAACATAGTACTGAATGTCTTTACACAAATGGTAGAAATTAAATAGCACCAAGATTGAAAAGAGACAAACTAGGTGCTTGTGAGTTTTTGTAATACCTTTTCAGCACTATATATTTCACATGCTAGTTGAGATTTCACTAACATGCTTCCTTTTGTCTTACATTTGTCTCGTGCAGTCAGGCCAGTTCAGTGAAGACATGATTCCCACAGTTGGTTTCAACATGCGGAAGGTCACTAAAGGCAATGTGACAATAAAGGTAGGCTAATAAGCCAACATTTCCAGCGGGATACTTTTACTGTTCAACTCTATTCCATTTTACACTGGACAAGTGCCAGCATAGAGCAGTTTAGTCTGCACTGTAGAGCAGTAATGGTGCAATGATTGGTTTATAAAGGGATCAAAATGGCACAGAGGCTTTTGCCCTGCTTAAGACTGTGTTTTTGATTCTATGCTTTCTCGCCTCAGATATGGGACATAGGCGGACAGCCTCGCTTCAGAAGCATGTGGGAGCGCTACTGTCGAGGAGTCAATGCTATTGTGTAAGTTTGTGGACACTACAAAGTACAGCAGGTACCTTTGTGAGCAGAATGTACTATTTGTCTTCCTAAGGTCGCTGAGAAACTGAAAGTGAATTATTTATACATACTAATACAACACAATGCTTAGGCAATGTGTTTACATTTGGTTTGGTATCTCTTCATTTACATGTGTTCTTACAAAGTTAATCTTGTAGTAAGAAGTAAACATTTGGTTTTCACGTATGATTTAGTGATACAGGTATTTTAGTGCTTCCAAACTCTCTAAGTAGTATTTCTCCCCCCCTTGCAGTTACATGGTGGATGCAGCAGACCGAGAGAAGATAGAAGCTTCCAGAAATGAACTGCACAACCTTTTAGACAAACCACAGCTACAAGGAATTCCTGTAAGAAGACACTTGTGGTGTTTGGCCCAAAAGCTCCTGATGTTACAGCCTCACCTTGGGTCATCACATTGATTTCTGAGGAACTAGTGACTCTGATCACAAGCAGGAATGAGGCTCATAATTAGTAATCACTGCAGCTGATGGGCCGCAGTGACTCAGGCTTGATGAAACACAAAGTGGTCTTTTGAGCAGAAGCCAGGATTTTTTAAATGAGTTTTTTTAAAATATCTAAGCGGACAGGATGATTGACTTGACAGGGCTCGATGTGCTAAATCGATAGGCTTCCAGCTGATGTGACTTGACACCACACACTCACATTTTGTTTTTTCCTAACAGTAACGATTCTGTGATGGGTGAAGCACATAGCTGAGAGAAATCCTTTAAACTGTCTGACCACACTGTGGGATAATGCTGATACATTGCTGTGTTTGATACTGATCAGCTCTTTTTCTTTTTTTCAGGTTCTAGTACTGGGCAACAAACGAGACCTACCCAACGCACTTGATGAGAAGCAGCTCATTGAAAAAATGTGAGGCGCTTGAGACTTACAGAATTCTTGTTGATAATCCTGCACATACTTGAGAACTTACTTCTGACTAAAGTATCCTATAGTCATAACTGGTGCATGATTAATCATTGCATCAAAGTATTATGTGAATCTTTCCAAGTGGTGATCCAACAGTGATGATGTCAGACATTTCCAGTATGTTGAATTATACACTGTATGACCAAAAGGATGTGGTCATGGGTGTCCACATACCTGTGTTAAATCTAAGATACTCAATTCATAACTCCTGTGAATAGCCTCCTCAGCGGATGGGACGCTGTTGGTATCAGCCTCTCATTTTGGAATAAGATGATCAACAGTTACATGTCATCACAGACCACAGACTTCTGGCCATACGGTGTAGATGAATCATCAGAAAAATGGTCTCAACTTGGGGATACTCCAATTTAACTGGACACAGATATTTAGAATGCAGCGATTATTGGTAGGTAGAGATGTGCTGAGTTGTCCTAAGTTTCAATTGTGGGCAGATCCTGGGTATATTTAATAGATCGGTATGAGCTGAAATACTCTCTTCTGCTTACTGCAGAACTGCTTCCCTTTGCGACAGCCTACAGTGCAAGCATTTCACTGTATGTGCGAGTGAAAATGTAGAGCCAGCATCGAGTTTGTCATAATATACAGATTCACTAATGCCTACCATACACTAGATGCCTTCTCAAAGACTGAAGTCTGACACTCACATCTAAAGACAGTGTGAGTTTTGAGTCACACACTTAAAGATTTTGCAAAGACTGGGGATACGTGCATTTACATGGAGTCATGTATTCGTTTTGCATTTGGGTTGGAAGCCCTACCCGAATAGAAATGCTCCTTGTAAACACCTCAGCCCGAAAGAAAATCTAATCGGGTGCACAGGGGTGGAATATTCCTTTTCAGAACCCGAATGGAAGAAGTTTTCTGTCTTGTATACACCTCCTACCCGATTCCAGCCATTCCGTTCTTTCTGCGCATGCTCATTTCCTTGCCCTTCTGGCGCGATGACGTATACAGCGTGCATAGCAACAGGCTGAGATAGAGCAGTCGGACTCGTTGTACTCACCGGTTTCCATTCGCCAAAGCACGGTTTTCTAGCTCCCTTCTTCAACCTTGTACCTCTCATTTTTAGTCAGTGCTGACTAGCACTTTGCTGGTTGGAATGACAGATGTTTTGATGGAAGTATTGGATCAGCGGAACAAAAGACTTTCAAAAGTCCTTAGAGGTTTCACATTTCCTGCTTTCCTTTTCTCAGGAATCTATCTGCCATCCAGGACCGAGAGATCTGCTGCTATTCTGTCTCCTGCAAAGAGAAAGACAATATAGGTAAAGAGCGGATCAGAACATAAATGATTCTACCTCCAATAGCATAGATGCAAATGTTTAATAATATGTGGCCCTGCTGAAGTCATAAAAAGTCATAATATTTCCCCCCCTGCAGATATCACGCTGCAGTGGCTCATCCAGCATTCAAAGTCACGGAGAAGCTGAAAATGAAGCCCCCCGCCCCAGTCGCAGCTCTGGCCTCAGCCCCCTAATGGTCATGGGACCTCGACAGCCATCCTTTCCACTGCCTCTGTGAAGTAATCCAGCTATCTGCTCACTACTGTCACCACCTGCACCACCCAGTACACTACCATAGATGTGCAGCCCCTGTACAGCACTACCGCCCTCCCAACTATCTGGAGTCTTGAAAATTTGTTTCAGTACTGTGCTAGAAGAAGGATTGTCCATACCCATCATGCCTTATTGCCAATCATAATGGACATGCTCTGTGTTTGAGTTTTTTCCTTTTTTCCTCCTCTTTTCAAATAGCTTTTGTTCCCCTCGACAAGCATCTAATGATGTGTGCTTTTCCCCAGCTACACCAGGATGGACCTCCTCTAATCCCACATTTAAACAACCGTGCTGTGGCTTGTCAACATTTGGTGTTTACGTGACAAGGTCGTGATTGTAGTTTTTAACAGTTATTTGCCAAATGACGATGGTAGCTTGTGCTAATACCTTCAACTCTTGATCAAATCTTCACAATGTAGCCTGCATTTAATTTGCTGGTGTACGAAAGTATCTATTTTATTAAGTGACTTAAGTCAAAGTTTACACATGATGTAATGATGAATAGAGGGTGAGACTGTGAGTGGTTGTTGTGTCTGAGGCAAAATCCTGAGATAGGTCAGCAGAGATTTAAGTGCCTTTGGCTCAGTGAGTGTTCCAATCAGACAGATATTGCCCAATGCGACTCCTAACCCACTATTATAAATAAACACTTGGTACAGACGGAGCATAAATCCCTTGATTACACTTAACACCACCCCTCGACAATCCCATTTTATGTTCTGTAATCTCATAAACACATTACGATGTCTGAGAAAAGACATTACTGTGCTCACGATGAAAAACGAATAATGACGGATGATGCAAGGTCAATAAGAGAATGTTACATTTGGTTTGGTTGACGGGTAATTTGAATGCTGTCTCACCTGTAGCCTGCGACACTTTAATGTAGCTTGAAATGTGGGCTAACTTTTTCTTGCAGTTCTCAGGTTGTTAAAGGATTTTCTGTCGTTTTTTTTTTATTTAACACAGTATGGGTGCGCCCAAGTATCTGTTTCATAATCCCTATTTTGTTCGGGTTGGATAACAGAAAGCCAGTGTTAGTCATGATGACGGAGCTTACGGAGAACAGAAGACTCCTTTAGTTCAAAGCGTTGGGTGTTTGATGTCACCCATGCCTTTGCCACACCCTTGTCTGAACCCTGATGTCTTTTTGTGGAAGCCTTAGCAACCTAAGGACAATGCTGTCTCTTAAAATGATGTATTGATTGATTTCCTTTCAGCGACAAGACAATGATTTTGCACAGGTTTGATCACTGTATATTAATCTGCCCCTTGCTTGGCCAGTGCATCTTGATCAATTGCTTTATTTTCTGTGTGTGTGAGTGTTGCTGGATCGGGGTGAGTTAACCCTGCTGCTTCAATGCTGTATGTAGGCCCACATGGCTTCTGCATTTCACTGTAATGATTTCTACAGATCCACCACACGCTCTTGTCATCTCACACGTTGTTCTGTGTCTGTTGGTGATCGTCGTAACCCTAAGTGTCGATTGTTGGGACCACAGCAGCAGTGAGGGGCTGTAAAAAAAATAAATAAATATTTGGGTGACTGTGTGGGTAATTTGGGGAAAGCTTTGTTACCTGTGTAATAATATAGCCTATTTGCAATTTGTATGTGCATGTGCTGAACTTATTCACATTCAATTGCAGACTTTGTAAATAAGATTAGCATTTTTATTCCAACAAACAAGCTCCTGTAGATGTCATGCATTCTTTCCCTGTGATTGCTAATAAATTTGTTTTTATTTTTAAGGATTTTCAAGTGTGGCATTGAAATTCTTTGGAAACTGGTCGTGTCAGTTTGTCACCACTAGGTGGAAGCAGGGGACTTTGGGAGGATTATGGGAAAGGAGGGGAGCGCAGAGTCTCGACAGGCCGGAAACTGCAGTTACCTGAAGTTGGTGCAGCATAAACCTGCTTTTCTCTTTATGCATATAGTGATTATCATAGGGCGGTGTTTCAGTGCAGGCCTGGCAAATGTCAGTCTTAAAGAGATTGATAATTGCTCTGTGTATATGAGTGGGATGTGACAAGTAAGTCTCAAGTTCCAAGTCCAAGTGAAGTCCTGAGTCCTGAACTTTTAGATCTGAATCCGTTACAATTCTTAATGTGCTCTTCACCAAATGAAATGCTTTTTTAATAAGAGTAATATATGACATGTAAAAAATCATGAATGCTTTTTAATTGTTTTTACTTATTTGTTAAAACAAGTTTATTTCAAATTGTTGCATCTCTAACTTTAAGTTTTGACCTGCATGTTTTGCATACTGCACTTTGTCTTTTTTGTAGTTTTTATACGCAGTTATCTTTTATTATTTTTGTCAACTGGCAATAAGTAATGTAACATCTTTATTCTCTCCTGCAACTTAATTGGATGCTGTCTGATAAGTTCAAACAGAGTGGATCTGGGGAGTTAAGTGTCGACTGGCTGGGAATGAACAGTGTTAATGTTAGCTGATTCAGGAAATGAATTGATTCCTGGCACATACTTAAATAACATACTTTTTAAAATTTGGGTTTGGGGGAAGGTATCAGGTATTCTAAAGGCTCAAGTCCAAGTGAAGTAACAAGTCTCTGGTGTTTAAGTTCAAGTTGAGTTGCAAGTCTATTTTGATTTTGTCGAGTCTAAAGTCACCGGCTGAATCCAAATATCCGGAATTCACCACACTTGCAGACTCGTGGAATTCGTGGGTGTGTTCCCAGAAAGACCAGGAGTATTGAGGGTTGTCCAAATCCGCAATTCAGCAAGTTCACAAGGGTCCTCAAGCAGACCTTCTGTAGGCTTCCAGAGAGTCTGCTTGGGGTGAAGACTTCAGACTTCCCAGACCCACAATTAACTGTAATACGGACATGACATACAGAATGAGCTTATTTAGACATTTCTGTTTTTGAATGTGTGTTGCCTGTTATATAGAGATGTATGAATATCATCTTGTTAGCCATACATGGGATTTATATCTTGTTATCTGCAGGGACAGATGAGCAGACACTACTCATCACCTTGCATGAAGAATATGACAGCAGAGATCACCTTGTACATGACTGTAGTTGTTGCTTGAACGTTTCCATAGCAATGAGTGAAACAGACTTGAGGCCTGTCTATCAAGCGGCTTGCAGTCTCTGCCCTCACAGAGTTAATGTGATGACAGTGAACATATCACTGGATGTACAACTAAAGTCTGCGAGGGCTTGAGTCTATTTGGATTCAACCATCAAATTTTTGACTTGAGTCCAACTCGAGTCCAAGTCATGTGACTTGAGTCCACACCTCTGGTGGAATGACTGATCCCAGCTCAACTATTGTCACACAAGTTCTTACTTGAAACTTCACAGCACATTCATCCACAAATCATTTCATAAGGAGGAGCTCACCAGGCAGCTCGCCTGCACCCACAATTCCCTGGATAATTCCCGTATGCAGGCTTCACTCTGTGCTACCTTAGTGGAAAGATATGGTTCTGTATTTTCCATTAAGCAGCTATTGTTACTTTCAGATCCCATAATAGATGATTAACACCTCCTCAGTGTTTCTTGGCAGAAAAGCGGCTATTATGCAGAGAAATGTAACACTGTGTTTAGCAGAATGTTAAGAGAAGCGCAGGGAGTGTGTCACAAACTAGGGGGCAATAAAGCAGGCCGTGTTCTCACAGCTGGAGCTGCACAGAGCTGTTGCAGAGAGGAGGCCTGTGCTGTTAAAGCAAGAACACCTTAATTAATCTCATTTCTTAAACACACCTTTTATTGAACAGCTGCTGCCATTTATTGTGTACCTGGGCTGGAGTTAGAGCGTGTGGACGGATCTAGGTGTTATCTGATGAATTCCATGGGTCAGTGGAGACCATGGCATGTGTGTCCACATGGGAACTTCATATTTGTATGCATGTGTGTGGTTTACATTTGCAACGACCGCATGGGATTAAACAGTGGTTACAAGCCTGCCAAAGGGATTTATGAGAGGAGGTCATGGAGAAGACCCAAAGGCGTGACACACTATTAATATAGTTACACTCCATTACCAATAGGCTTGTTAGGTAATACAACATGTTTTGCACCTACCACCTGTCACAACTGTGCTATTTGCATTCCTTAAGTGTCCAAACGCGTTGGTCAGTCTTATGAATGACCATTCATCACCGAAATTACATGCTATAAACTGAATTATGGAATATTCGTCCAGACGTGATTCACTCCCTCATAGTTTTCACTCTACTTAATTGCTACAGCCCTGAGCTTAATAAATCCTCTCTAAAACCTTGATGGATGTCATAGATTATGAGAATGTAACTAAACTTTCAACAGGGCTGCTCATAATGATATAATCAGGGACACATCTGCATAGCACTGTGCATAGTCCACTGTATTATAATCCACTGTGGACAAGTTTGAGCTTATATAGTATCCTCACAACCTGAAACCACATTTTTTTTTAACTAAAACTAAACTAAATATTTAAACTAGGACTGAAAAACATTTAAGGTACCTAAAAAAACAACAACTGAACTTAAGAAAAAAACAAAAACTAACTGACACAATATTGTGTACTTACAATGATAACTAAAATCAAATAAAAATATGCAGGAAAATGTCCTCAGTTTTTGTCAACACCAGCATGTGGAGGTTTTTGTAGAGACTGGGATGGCTACATGACTTTGGGTCGCTTCACAAAGTGTTGTGTTTATTCGTAATATCCATTCCAAATGAATTAAATTTTACTCCTGACACATACCCCCTGTATTATAATTTTTAAAAAAATTAAACTAATGCTGAACTAATAAAGACAAAACTAAAACAAAACATTTTAAATAATAAAAACTTAATTTAAACAAGCAAAGCCGCTGTGGAAACAAAAATTAATAAAAAATAAAAAAACAAATGAAACATACAAAACTATAATAACTCTACAATAATGGGTGACATCATCTATTTAGCCTCCAGTCTGTGGAATACCTGCCTGTCTAATGCACATTAATGGCTCATGATTGAAGCTGCTGTCTCTTATTTTAAACTGGTTCCACTCCTGTCTTTCCAGCAAACAGCTCTGGACAGTCTCACTCAACACTCAGTTTAGGAAGGCCACACTTTACTTTTGCTAAATCATTTGACAGTGCTGTAACAAGCCAACATATTACACCCAGTTTATGCAGTCTCATAATCATTCTTTTACACATCCTGTGCAGCAATGTGCAAGAGAGAGGTCCTCTCGTTATCTGTGGAAGTCACCGGGACTTTTTTTACAGTCTTTATTGTCTGTCCAATCAAACATCCTTTCACTGGACTTTTTTTCTCTGCTGGTGTGTGTGTGTGTGTGTGCAATGTGCAAGAGAGAGGTCCTCTCGTTATCTGTGGAAGTCACCGGGACTTTTTTTACAGTCTTTATTGTCTGTCCAATCAAACATCCTTTCACTGGACTTTTTTTCTCTGCTGGTGTGTGTGTGTGTGTGTGTGCACATGCAAGCATGTAAACTGAAAGCATTAGTAACTACTGTGCTATCTCTATCAAGGCTGTAGCATCCCCATTTACTTCGTCCTCAGGGGTCAGAGGTAGTTACGACAAGCCCTTGTGCACACTATTATGATGGGCCCTAAGGCATGCTAGTTACTTGTTATGCACCTCAACTAGCGATGACATGATCAAATAAAGACTTGACATTGGATAACACCAACATACATATCACCCAAAAATCATCTTTGTGTATAGGAAAAAAATACCATAGAAAATGAGGAATTATTCGTTTAATGGAATAGTCTTTTAAACCTTATTTAAAGTTTATGTAGAGTACACATTAATTCAATATTTTCTAACATATTTTGTTTATTTTACAAGAAAAGGAACCCATGATGTAGATGGGTTTACCTTTTAGAAGGCATATAAATGGCAACATTTTTAATTAAATGTGAATTTTTCACATTTCAAGTTCACCTCCAGCAAAAGAGACAGACAAATTAGTGCTACCTATATTCGTATTATTTTCCCAGTAACACACTGTATAAAGACTTTGCCTTCTACGACAGCAAGCTCGCTCTGGCTTTCTCGCACAGTACATTTTGGCTGCACTTGCTGCCTGCTCCAAACGCCATGAAAAAAACTTTGCTTGTATGATCAGTTGACTTTTAAAAAATCCAAATTTCATTTTTTTAGAAAACAAAAAAGAGGCGGTGGTGGATGATGAACCCGAGAGCCAAACTTGAGTAAAAAGTACAGGTACCGTATCTTTACAGAAAGTGACTTTGGTAGAAGTTGAAGTCATTAGATATTAGAATATCACTTTAGTAAAAGTCTTAAAGTATCTGATATTCACTGTACTTTAGAATCAAAAGTAATTTTATTATATTGAATAAAATTAAGTAATAAAAGAAAAAGTACAAGTAAATGCTGGTAATGAAAAAAGCAAATGCTCAGAATTCTGAGGATTATAAAGTACACAGGTTGCCTACCCCTTCCCTATGTGATAACTTGTAAGCTGAGACCACTGATTCATGAGAATGTTTAGGACATATAAATACATAGATACTGGAGTAAATACATAGAAATGTATTAGAGTAAAAGTATACATTTTATTAATGAAATGTAGTTCAGTTAAAGTAAAAGTTGACAGAAACATGAAAACTCAAGTAAATGGATACTCAAAAAATACTTTAGTGCTGTAACAAAGTATTATTACTTCATTCAGGTATTTATTCAATTATTTTTCCAAACTCCCTTTTCTTTTTTGTGTACTTATCCACCCTGAAATGCACTAAAATCAAATTCCATAT